TTAGCAAAACTTTACGAAGGACCTGCCCTGAAATGATTCGACTGAACAGTAAATCTAACCGTTCAGCAAAAGGAAGTATTTTAAGTAGCAAACTGGAAGTCCTTGTGGTCAGTCACATGACCTTTGAAATTGCGGCTTTTTCGAGAAAAAAAAATCTTACTTTTGCTTCATGACAGGATTTCCTTTTTCTTAAATTCTAATAGTTTCAGGAGGAGGTAAATTGGAGGTTTAGTAAATCCTTCAGGAATTTTTTTCGTTTTATTTTAGCGGTTTTTGCGCGGAGCAGTTGGACCCAGAAATACGTACGTCATAACTTAAAAGCTCTTTTGAAATACGACGTATGGCCTCTCATCAACTGAATTATGAGCAAACGAAAATTCTAGAAGAATTGTTGGAAGGAAAATGAATCCAGCCGACTCGTAATACTCATGTCTGATGAACAATATGGATTATTTAATAACAGCAAAAAGGGTTAATATCACTTTGAATAAACACGAGTTTAATAAAAAAAATTAGAATTTTTGAAATATTTCTAATAAAATGCCAGCTAGTGTGTGTAATCTATTTAACACAAAGTCAAAATAAAAATTTGTGGCGAACAAAATTTTTCCAACAGAAATTAAGGGAATTATTATAAAAACAGATTCACGAATAACAGGAACTGGGCATTTTTTTTTTTTTTGGCTGAATGCGACATTAAACAAAAGATGCGGACATTTTCCTTATGAATTACAATGTAATCCTCATTTTCTGCGAGCGGTAATTTTGGTATTACAAGAAGTTCAAATGAGGAATAGACCTGTGAATAATAATTTAAGACGCAAATTTGTAGATGAATTAAAAAATTAAGGAAAAAAAGAATTAATTGTGTTGTTGAGTTTTAGTTTTGACAATTATAGTTCTATAACAGATCAAGGATCTCTGGTTTTTGAGCTATGAATGAATATTTGTAGTGTAACGGTCTTTATAAAGCACTTAGAAATGCTCGTTCCTCGCTAAGAAGAGGCTGATTTAAGAGTATATTTTAGTTATAAGGTGCACATCTAGTTAAGGTGATATAGATTTGTACGCTTGAGCTTTAAAACGTACAAGAATATAAACATTGTACAGTACCTTTAGCAATCTGCGTAGAATATTTACCAGTGACAAACGTTCAAAACCACCCTTTGTCTATTCCATATGTCGATAATGATAAGCCAAAGTAGAATGCTAGCGATTTGAGTACACGTAGTCTGAGCAAGCGAATGAAATGGGTAGTGCCCTGAGGTAGGGCAGCACTCGTTGTAGTATTTTATGGATTATGACTGGCTGAAAGCGGAACTAAACGAAAACAGAAACCCAAAACAAAGCTAGACATCTTAAATTATGTGAGGTAATGTAATAACATTAAGATGTGACATAAGGATAACGATGAAAACCGCGATATGTCGGTATTGTACAATTGATATGTAGATATGAAGTAAACATAAAATGAATGTCTGTGAAGTAGTGATAAATATTTACATGCGTCTTAGATAATCGTTCCGCAGACAGATACGGCTGTCATGAGGAGATGAAATTGCAAATTGAGAGGAAGTGGATTTTTGAAATAGATAATCTAAAATAATAAAGAATCGATTTTTTAAGGTAATTAATGGAGTTAAGAAGAAAGGGATGATGAGGTTAATAGACAAATAAAAGAGAGATGAAAAGGAAGGGAGAAAAAGAAGAAAGAAGGAAAGAAAAACGAATGAAATGGAATGAAAATAATAATAAATAAATAAGGAGAAATGAAAAATAAAGAAGAAGTACCAGGAAGGAAGAATGTGACAGGAAGGGAAGGAAGAGAGAAATAGAAAGAACGTAAGATAGACAGAGAGAAAAAAGAACGAACGAACGAACGAACG